TTTGTCTTTTTTACGTGACTCGGACGTTTGACTCGGGCTCGGAATTGACTCGGACTTAGAATTGACCTGGTAATTGGTAAACGGATTTACTCAACACCTTGTCATTCACCAACGTTGACTATATATAACGCCTGTATTCTTAAAGCTCACTGACGCTCAAAGAGTGGAGGTTCAATCTGTGCTTCCCTTGGGTGTCGATGCTGTTTTTAACTATTTTAACTATGTCTTACTATGTGACTACTCATCCTCCAGCTATTGAAAAACAGCACTGACACTCAAGGGAAGCTCCAATTAAACTTCCACTCTTGAGTGTGAGTTATGGTGTGAGTGAGCTAAAATCGCCTTTTAGAATACCAAGCCAACAGGCATTAATCTACTTCCCCAAGCAAATTTATGCAGGTCTGCATCTCCTCAGCGTAGAGTTTGTGTTTAAATCCACTGTTCACAAGATCAATGTTTTATCACGGACAAAAAGCACGCTTATCAAAGAACGCTTTTAAGTCTGATCGTAAAAACGCAAGGCTTATAATTGTATGTGCTGTATATAAAATGAAAAATTAATTATTCAATTGATTTGTAGATTGTTATCTTTATTCATATGGAACTTGTAAATAAATAAATATACGGCATATATATAACGTATAAAACAGCTGAAACATCGAACTTAATAATAAAAATAATTATTTAAACCTCGGTAATTTAAAGCTTATTAAAATCAACAATATTCGCTCAATATTCGCTTTAGCTATGTACAAATTTCAACTGATTTTTTTACTACTGACTTTGTTTTCGAATTTCCTATAGCGTGCATGTGTTAAAATTAAATACCGAAAACCAAGGCATTTAGCCAAATACAGCCAGTTCGAGCAGCGCAATGGCTGTATATTTGGATAATAAAAGCCGAGGTTCGAGGTAGACTATAACTGACTTATTATATGATTAACAAGGCTTTCTCTAAATCCTTAGAAAAGACAATAGGGTCTCCGTTGATATATGACTTAAATTTTTGCCAATCTTATCACGGTCCTCAATTTTTTTTCTACGAGCAAATTGTAAAACAGTCAAGACTGCATGTCGATAAAATCAGGATATTGTCTTGAAGGCAATGAATAAAACAATTTTCTTGGTTTTTGCACATGAATTTTCCCCATTCATGCGCTTTACCATGTTTATACTCGAGTTACTCGCCAATGTTAGCATATTATATGAGTTAGCATGCAGCAGAATGTATCTAACCCATGCAGTGAAGCATGATGGACAGTTATATTTATAAAACCCATTGTATGTAAAATTAGTCAATGCCATCTGTAAAATTAGCTTTAAAAACATTTTTATAGTCATGCAGTAGACGGTTATATATATGTAATCTAAGAGTAAGGTTTGAAGGCTATTATTTGATAAATTGACGATTCCCGAAGTATTAAACTTCCATCTTGGTTTACGAACCTGCTGGCAAAATTCGTCATGTTTTGAGTTGACAATTTACTTACATCCCAGTAATCCGAGGCATAAACCCAACTGGAAAACTCTGCGATGTTTTGGAATTTGTGGGCCATGAAACTGTATTTGCTGGATAGAATGACGAAACCACTATTTCGTAACAATTCTTCTGCGTCTGCTTTCTCGAGAAGGTGCACTGTTGGCTGATTGTTCTCGATATTGTTTGGGACTAGTTGTTTGGTAAATTCCTTCACAATTTCAGGTTCTTTATCATGACTTTGAATTGCTATCATTCCGCCAGGTTTGAGACAATTAAACGCAGTCTGGACGAAGATTTTCTTTTCTTGGTTATTCAGCCATTGAAAGACGAAGTTACTTAAATTTTAATTTAATTAAAAGTGTATATCAAAGTATTGTTTATCGTAATGTGGAAATTCACTTGAACTTTCCCCATTTTCGAATATGATGTTCTCGAGCGGGTGTTTCTCGCAGGCAACTTTGATTCTTTCGAAGTCTGGATCCACAGCAACTACTTCACCATCTTTGCCAACTAGGTTCGCAAGATATGAAGTGAGTTCTCCTGTTCCACAGCCCATGTCAAGCACTCTATCGCCGGGCTTTATCCCAGCACTTCCCGCTAGTTCTTTACTCCATTGAACTTGTAGTTCATTAATTTCCGAGTACTTCTTTGCGATGCTTTCATAATGCTGTGGTTTGGATAGAGCAGTCGGCATGGCTTAAAACGGAGTTACAGGAATCTTGTGTTATTTGGCAACCAAATCTTGTTAGGCTATTCCTTGAATACTTCTGTTCTTGTACACATTGATACAACTGAACTCGAATGGTGATATTTATAGTATTGCACAGATGGTGTTTAATTGCTCAGTGCGTCAGGGTCCTCTATCTTTGATTAATGAACCAGAATAATTTTTCCAGTAAGTTACGTGTAATAGCCAATTCATAGAATGAACTGGACCTAAATGACGCGTTCTGTACGTGCGCATAATGCAGCACAAAGAAAAGCACACTAAGTGGGATCACATATTTTCTAATTCTTTGTCAGTGTAAAGATTCTTTGTTAAATTGCAAAGTATACATAATAGTATCTCCACGTAAATCCTCGCGTCTCTAGCTGCACGTTTGATGTTGACTTCGTTTAAGATACTGCTGTTTTGCAGTTTTTTCGTTAAAAATGCTCTCACGAAAGTGCTTTATGTGACAGTTTCAATGACATAATTTAAAACTCCGCTCTAAATGATTAGTCTTACCGCATATATAGTGTTAATGGATATGCATGTATGTTATGTGTCAAGCCTTGTTGACAAGTTTTGAAGTTGCTATGATGAAAGTATGCTTCGACCATGCTGTGTGACAATGTAAACTTCTTTTACTTAATGACATAGTTTTAATTCAATAGTCTTGAATGACTGTATCTTTGTACATTGCCGTGGTGTGTTGATGTATGCATGTGTATGATTAGGTTAAGCCTCGACACTGCCTCGTTTACAGTGTTGGCGTTTCTGTGATCAAAGACAAAGTGTGCTAAAGCTGCCATGCAGACAGTGCATGTGAGAATGCAAGTCTCTTTGAAAACATAATTTCAATTCAAAAATCTTTGAGTGAACACATCTTCCTGCATTCGGGAACTGATGTATACTTGCATGATAAGGGCTTGCATGTTCATCAAAATTGTGTTTCGACCAAGCTGTGTAGCAGTTCCAACTTCGTTTATTGACTTTTATCCGGCGACGCACACTGGACGGGAGTTTCTATTTGGAGCGGGGAGCGGGTCGCGGGTTAAAAAGAGCGGGTCGTGGGTAAAAGGAGCGGGTAATTAAAAAAGGAGCGGGTAATTTCCCCAGGAGCTAAGTGCCTGTGAGAGTAATTTTAAGGCAAAAATCATGAGGGCCATTTAAGTCAAACCATTGCACCTCACACTAAAAATATTGCACACTAGCGCAAAGTTTCTGGGTCACCAACTGGACAAAAACTTATTATAACACAAAGGCTACTCAAAAATCTACAGCTTGTCTCGGCTATTGCCTCTCCAAACTACGGGTTATGCATCACTAACTCGATAGAGCAAAGCAAACTATAAACCATTTCTTACTATAAATTTATACGAATTCAACCATTTTTTACTATAAATTTATCCGATGTTTTTAGCCATCCGGTTTTTTATGTTTTAAGTGTACCCTGAGTTTGTAAACTCTTGCTCTAGTGTACATATAGTCTAAAAATGTGTAGGCTATATATGCTATACCACTATACCAGTTTCTGAACAACATTCGAAAGGTCATCGAAAACTTTGCAATAATATATAAATTCGATGGTGTTCTGCAAACCTAACCCTAACCGTGCAAACCATGACTTGTTCAATATGTTCATAGTTTTAATATATGAAATTAGTAAGTCTTTAAGAGGTGAATCGCTAAGATTTTCAATTTCTTCGCGCGTCACCGAGCTGTCCACTGTTACTTTTTGTCAATTTGGTGACCCAAAAACTTTCCGCTAGTGTGTACGTATTTTCAGCATGTTAAAATTCCCCACCGGTGCTTAGCTCCTGGGGAAATCACTCACTCCTTTTTTTAACTACCCGCTCCTTTTACCCGCGACCCGTTCTTTTTACCCGCTCCAAATAGATACGCCCACACTGGACTAGAGCTATGTGCCTAGCAAAATGTCAAACGTGATTAACTTACTTATTAACGTGACTACTTATTCGTGATTAAGCAAATTCCCTCCAGTGTGCGGTGATGTTGTGAAAGATTTTCTGCAAGTACGCGTGCATTTGTATAATTTTTGGCACGAGTGACAATTTCCTCCAAGTGTGCGCACAGGAAAAATAGCTTCGATATTTTGATAGGAATACGCATAACGCATGCGAATTCGGCAGCCTCAACAACACTCGCCGCCATTTTGATGTGAAATTCCAGTTCCCAGTTTAGTAAGCAATGAAAGTAAATTACATTGTAAACATGTCAATTCAATCAAAATTGCGAATAAATGTTATTTTTTGCTGCAGTCTGCGTAGAAGGAAACCAGTCTGCGGAAGTCATATCATTGACGAAATTGCGTCTTTGAAAGAGGTTCGCACTGTCACACACTTTGATGAATGCATTATTTGATCAGCGAAACTTCGATAGTGCAAACGAGACAGCCTATAGCCTCTCGTTTACTAAGTAACTCTACGCGAAGGGCCTTTGCTCGAAACGTCGAAATTCTCCTTATATTTTTCAGGTCAGTTGCATCCCTGCCAACGAAAGCTCTTCAATATTGTTGGCACTACCTACGCTGGCACAAATAGTTTAATAGTAAGATATAGTCGCTCAAAACCTTGGATTTTTTTTTCTGAAAAAGCTTTTCAAAGATGTTTGCATTTTCACGTTCCCACATGCATACTGCGACCTAATCATATATAGTACATACATCAACACCATGTCAATGAAGTAAGATATGCACTCAATGACCGGTTGTTTGAATTAAATTATCTTTGAAAATGTTACACTGACGCATTCTTTGAACAGATGAATTCATTTTTGATGCATGCCAAAAACTACGATATACAGTAGTGAACTACAATAAGACCAAGGCAAAGTTGCTGGTTTTTTCCACTGACTTACTCAACACTCACTATACCGTCTAGGTCTAAACATGAAGGAGTGGATTTGGGTATGTTCTTGAGAATTATTTGCATTTCAACAAAGAATCTTTGTCGCTTTTAACCGTCCATTAATAGACCTATACTTAGACCAGCCATGTGACAGGATGCATGTTTGTTCTTCCTGAGTGGGCGGTTTGATGACGGTTAAAAGCAACAAAGATTCTTTGTGGAAATGCAATTTATTCTCAAGAACAAACGTAAATCCACTCCTTCATGTTTGGACCGAGGCGATCTTTCCTTATATTTAGCTAAGTCTTTGAGACCCAGTTAATTGCTTCGCACGTGTTGTGGTTAAATTTTTGCCAAGATTCCCAAGAATACATACATACATACATACATAAAAATTTATTTAAACACGTTAGCCCTAACATCTTTCGATGATTTCCATAGGGGACGTGTAAGATTAAGACTAATACATATACAGAATACAAACTATTTACATAATTATTCCTTAGACAATTAGCAAACATAAATAAATAACAAACATACAAACTATTTACATAATCATGCATTGCTTTCGAAAATGTAGCTTCATTAGTCTTTTGAAACAACTCATAGAATTGGATTGTTTTGCAGTAATTGAACAAACTGCCAAAAATTTTATGAAAACCGCCTCGAGAAGGGCCTAGTTTGAAAATTTAGCTCTTAATTTCGATTTCATGACCACATTTTGGTTACACGTTAAATATTTTTGCACTTGATAAGATTCAAAATTTGTTGTATTCAAGTTCGGCTTCAGCTAGTGTAATTTTGGTGATGACCGGAAAAAAAATGAAGATATTTTAAAAACTGGCCGTGGCCTCGCAATAAAACTTTCTAAAAATGTTCTCTGGTTCATGTATTTTTATTTGATATAAAAAATAAGGGCTTAGACAGTTTACGAGGTTATAAAATGCATGACTTGTCTCTATTTTCGGTATCCGGTCGTTTCGTCCCCTTGCCATTTCGTCCCAGGTCATTTCGTTCCCTTGCCGTTTCGTCCTCTTTAGGTTTTGTCCCCTTTACGTTTCGTCCCCACACTAGATACCGTTTGTTTTCTCTATAAACTATTTATTTTTCATAACATATATTTATTTTTGTTTCTACTTTGATTATATATATATATATATATATATATATATATATATATATATATATATATATATATATATATATATATATATATATATATATACATATATTATTATTCTTAGTTTAATAAAATCCATTTTGCAGCTAAAGCTGAATTGCATGGAAACAATATTTACAATATTAAATATTAAAATTTACGTTAACAATGTTATATACTTATTATTAACTACCTATTATAAAAATGTATTAATAAAATGTTAACTATATTTAATGGTAAAAAAGTTCTTTAACCGTTCAGACATAATCGGTAAGAGTTGCGGATTATTATTACGCAGATCATAATTATGAGTTCGGTCTGGTAGACCGGATTTAACTATTGCAGTTAAAGGGTTGTGTGGCGAATCTTGGTCTCGAAGTGAGTTAATTAATTTCCTACATGCTTCTTCTCTTCTTGTACTCAGTAGTTTAATGTTACTTTTGTGTAATGCTTCATCATAAGATAGATGGGGATACGCGATTTTAAAGCTCTTTTTTGCACCGACTCAATAAGGTCTGATAATGTCTTTGGAAGAGCGGACCAAACTGGTGATGCATACTCCAACTGGGATCTTATAACTGCACAATAAATATGAACAATGTTTAAAGGGCTCAATCCAGCTTTCTTTAAATAGGCGTAAAGCATAGATGCGTGAATTCGCTTTCTTTAAAATTTTATCTACGTGTATATCCCACGAAAGATTGTTAGTCAACCACACGCCTAGTAGTTTAAAACTGGAGACTCTCTCCACCACATCGCCGCCTATAACAATGTCATTTTCTACCAGTTTATACTTAAGAAACGTAATAACCATATCTTTGCATTTCTTTGGATTTAGTCTCATTCCTCGTTCGTTTGCATAATCGGATATTTGGTCCACGATAATTGGTAGGAAGCTGGGTGAACATCGTGGAATTATTTCCAAGACCGTAGTATCGTCGACAAATTTGACTCTCCCAGGCCAATCCTTGAGCAAAGAATTTA